GCAGAGAGTGATGAGAGAAGGCAGGGGTGCAGAGAGTGAGCAGAGAGTGATGAGAGAAGGCAGGGGTGCAGAGAGTGAGCAGAGAGTGATGAGAGAAGGCAGGGGTGCAGAGAGTGAGCAGAGAGTGATGAGGATGGAGATGACGGGGTGTATTTCTTTGTACTGATCTTCTGCCCATCTCTCCGCAGGACACTACAAGGACGAGATCCTGAGCTGTGGCGGGCGTTCGGACAGATCATGTCTCAGGGTCTGATGAGGAAGCCGCAGCCGTTCACTGTCGGCACCCGACTTTCCATTCCCAAATGTCCCGATTTATCTACCTCTGGCCACTGTGTGGCCCCCATGGACAGCCTCCCTATGCCTCAGAACCTCCATCACCGCACCCTGCATTGCCCTCCACCTCCCCAGGGGACCGCCCACCGCCGAAGCCCCCGCTTCAGCCTGCCAGACGGCGAGGAGTGTAACCGCGGACCTCACAAGTCTCTGGCACGCTCCATCAGGAAGATCGCCCTCTCCCGTCATGGCGAGCCCGCCCACAAAGGGGGGGCGATGAGGATGAGCCCCCGACCCCCCGCCCACAAAGAGGGGGCGATGAGGATGAGCCCCCGACCTCCGTTCATCAACTCACATGGGAACTTCAATAATAATAACAGCCGGGGACTGCGGCAGCTCGCACCGGACGCCATCAGCCCGCCATGTGACTGGATCAGTAATAAATCGCCCGCCAGCCAGGCCAAGGTAAGGGGGATCGTGACTCACTGCCTGGGGGACACCCGCCCATCCCCCCCCCAGTAATACCAGGGACTGCATGTGACTCCCCCCAACCACATCACACACAATGCGATTCTTCCGTGTCATGTGACTGCAATGAGATCATCCGCAGACTTTGTTACAGAGCCTCCTATAGATACAACCTAAATATAGAGCCACCAATCCAACTGTCACTCCAGAGACTCTGGTTTACAGACCTGAGACTGGCTGCTCCTTGTATTATGGAGAATGTGGCAGGAGTAGTGAGACTACCACCCCCAGTTTCCTAATGATCTGGTTGTGGGGATCCCTCTGGGGGGTGTAGAGATCAGAGTGATATTTCATAGGGAGGGTTGTGTGATGTGTGCTGAAACGGCCACTTGTAGTCTCCATGGGAAGTCTGTGTGACAACACAGGAGCACAATTAGGAGATAGGGACAGGGCGTTGTCACCCTATAACAGGAAGTGCTTGAGCACGGCAGGATCACCAGGATTATTTTTTATAAAAGCTTTAGAAGTACAATCATTGAGAATGATTTTAGAAACGACTTTCAGCTCGTATGAGATTTTACTGATCGGGTTTTATGTCTTCCATTGGCTGGGACTCGGTACCACGGTGGTCCGATCCGGTGACAGTTGTATGGTGAATGGTTTCACCAGAGAGAGCTCCCTATTGTCCTACCCAGGCTGGCACTCAGCGGAGGGACTTGTAGGGACCTCCTCGGTGTTTGGGGGTCACACATATGGCCATAGGACATGTGACATAGGACAAGTAACATAGGACATGTGACATATGACGTGTTGTATGTAAGTGTGGTGCTGTCATGGAGGACTTTGTACAAGAAGCTAACACTCAGTCCTGCACTGTGATTGGCTGTCGTGTTGATGTCACTGCCGAGTGTCCCAGACAACGTCCCATTCATCAGACACATGTGACCACACAGCACCCGGCCGCTCTTAAAGTGGAACTCCAAAACCTTTTCTTTGGTTTTAGATGGTGTGAGAAGTCACCGGGACAGGAAGTGAGGGGAAAGCATCCTGGTGGAGATACAGACATGAACAGAACTGATAGAACTTCCAAAGATCCTGTCAGGAGTTCCACTTTAACTTTAGTCCCCCACCCCCACCGTCACAACC